GTTCAGCGGCTTTGCTGGACCGCCCCAGCAGACCAGGGAGACCGGGAGAAGCTTTTCTCGCCCCGGAGGACACGAGTGGTGACCCGCCGCCCGTAAGCTCCGGGGCAAGAAAAGCCCCGTTCGTAAATGCGGATCCGACATAAGTCGGATCCGTGTAAGTCGGGGACTGCCTGTATACCATGTTTGAGCAACCAAAATCTGCACTGGGGACACTTTTTCTACATATGGGTGCCTACGTCCATATTTTCACCCTCAGGATACTCAGAATGTTCTGTGTGGCCAAGTTTAACTAAGTAACTTTCTTTCAGAACTGAAGGTCTGATTAAATGTTCTGGGCACAGTCCATGAATCATTATTCAGATCTGAAGTGAACTTTAGGTTCATTTCTAGGATAGGACAATAGAACATGAAATTGATTTTCATTTTCAAATTTCAAGCTGAACGTGATTGCAGTCTAGAACATCTACATCAGTCACTTTTTAACTTTCATTCATTTTGTACGTTCCCCTCCCCCCACCAGATTCATTTTCTTTATGTTGAAAATCCCAAGAGACCATAACTGCCAAAAATATCTACTCGCAAATCTACCATGTGTGTTCACAGTGCCCGATGAATTATGGCAGCTAATGCATCCTAAAGGATTTTGAGGTTGTGATAGCCTCATAGGTATAAATCTATCCAGAAATTAGTGTCCCTTCTTCCCACTTCTTTCACTTTTGTTCTATTGGTCTCTCTATGCAATGGTGACATGGGCTCAGGAGAAGGCTGTGAAGCTGGTACTCTGAGAGGTGGATGAGAGAGAGAATTAATTGTGGGTAAAAAGTAGGGATGTTAGAGTTTAACCTATTAACCATTTAACTGTTACGCTCACGCTGATCAGTTAATGGTATCAGTTAAATTCAACCAACTCCTGGGGAAGTGGCTTCACTGTGGCAGGGGGGGGGGGGGGGCTCCCGCTCCACTCCCAGGGAAGTGGCACTGCCACAGAGAAGCCTTCTCCTCTGGAGTCCAGCGGACTAGGGTTGCCCATTCTCCCAGGGAGGAGGTCACCTCCCCGGGAGCTGAGTGGGCAAGAAATGCCCATTCCACTCATGGGGAGGCTTTGCTGCGGGCTCTGCAGTATAAAGCTAAGCGTCTGTAACTGCTAAGATTTTTAGCAGTTACAGGGTTACCATAATAAATGATTTTTAACATCCCTAGAAAAATGGGGAGGTAAGATATCAAAGGGGAGGGGAAGTCCAAAATGAACACCAGTGATCAGGGATGTGTAAATCAATAGACCGTGTTTGCATGCCAAGAACAAAACTAAAAATGGAAAGGAGCCTTTCACAGATAGAAGATTGTGAGCAGTATAACTGGGTGACTGAATTGTAGTTCATTTAGAACAGTGATTCTAAAACTTTTTTTTAATAAGTCCCCTTTCTCCCCCCTCCCCAAAAAAGTACCCATTTAAAAGAAAATTATAAGTACTCCCAGTACCTAAAATTTTCAGACACACAATTTTTTTTTCCTACACATTTGTTTAGACAATTTAATTGTAGCCGGGCAGGTGATGAAATTTTTGGTTGTAAAAAGTACAAAAATAATAAAGCGCTATAAAACTTAAAACAAAAATTCAATTTTCTCCAAATTTCAGTTATTTAATTATTTATTTATTATTTAAATATTTCTACCCCGCCTTTCTATATAAATTTTTCAAGTTGTGTCGACGTACTCCTCAGACTTCTCTCGAGTACCCCAAGGGTACTCGTACCACTGGTTGAGAAACACTGGTTTAGAATACAAACACTTAGCTCATTATTTGAACCTCAGATCTCCTCACATCATTAGTTTATGTATATTATTTTATAATATTCCATAATGGAATTGTAATTCAGGTCAGTTTTGAGCTCTTGATAAAGTTAAGCATGACATAAATTCCACATAATGTGAACACAATATTTCTGTGCCTAAGTGCATGGCATTTCCCATATCACTGGCTTATTTTTGAGATGCGCCCCATAGAAGTAGTACTGGACAGTGCTATTATGAAGTAGTGAAATGAAACATCAGTATATCACCTGGATGTGATGCATTGCTCCTAATACTGTTGTTTGAAGAGTCGAGAGAAGATGTTAAAATGACAATGGTTTTAGGACTAATGGTAGATTTAGAAAGTGCAGCCTTTGTGAGAGAGCCTCTTCCTGAGTCACAATCAGATTTTTGGATAGGTGCCGTCTTGATGGAAAATTTGTTCCAGGCATTTGGATATTCACACAAAGTGTCATTTTCATGTTCTGAAAGTATGAATAATAAAGGGTCATGAGAGATGATAGGATCTGTTCTGCAGTGTGAGAAATTATAGTATATAAGTGAGTTTTCTTATTAATTTACAATATTAAATTGTATTTCATTCTTGATGACAAGCCTGATGAGGCTTAACTCATGTAAGATCAGGATAATGATGGTTGATTGGAGAGGAATAAATACTGTAGAGGCGTTACTTTTGTAAGTATTGTAATGGACTCATTGCTGCTGTTGTCAAAACTTACCTAGCTTCACATATGAGAGATTCAACCATTTCTGTAAATGGAGCAGGCCACAGGAACAATTCCATGGATTTCTTTTTAAGTTAATTCTAAATGGTTTAAATGGTGCTTTTATATCCAAGTGCTCCAACAAATTGCCCTGTAGACTCAAAACCATCAGGTTTTTCAGCATTGTAAATATGTAAGAATCCATCTGGAATATTTTATTATGATTTAGATACAATGTGGATAGTTGATTTAGACCTGCAAATGCAGCCTGTTCAATTGTATTGATACAATTATGACTTATATCTAGAATTGTGAGTTTTGACAGCTTGTAGAAGGTATTATTATATAGCACAGTAATGGCATTTTCATTGAGATACAATTCAGTCAAGTTAATAAATAGCTGAAGAACCTTTTTGTCAGTTCTGTTTAAAAGAATGCTGTTGTTACTTAGATACAATTTAGTAACATTTTTACTTAAGGTAGGAATAGAAGAGTAATTCTTTGCAGATTCCTCACAAATGACCTGTTGAAGGGAGAGAGAAAAACAATATAAATTACAAAATATTTTCTAATAGAAAGGATTGATGTGGGCTCTTGCAGTGCAAAAACCCCTTGTAACCAAGCATGCCATCTCTTTGAGATCCAGAGAGAAAGCCCTGGACCCATACTATTCTGTTCTGATTTTCTTTAAAATATACTTGTGGGATAAGGTTCATGGTCACTGGGGTGGTGAATATCATCTAATGGAAGCAATTTTGGAATTCCAACAGGAAGGAAAGGTGACAAAGCACCACCAGCTCCATCCCTTGTGAGGGGATTAACCTGGGAGTTAATGGCCCAAGGCAATTAGAAATGTAATGTGAAGGTTTGGCCAGGCCTACTAGGAAGAGGGGCTTAGTATAAAAAGAAGTATCTTCCTACATAACAGGGAGATCCCTGAAGATAAGCTATGCCTGAATGAAAGGAAGTGGGCAAGAGTTGGAGAGAGAACTAATTTTTGTTTTTTCTTTATTTTTTGTTTCATCTCTAAAGATGCTAGTTTTAATAAGATTTTCATTTGTGGAGAAGGATTGAGTTCACTAAAAATTAATTTTTTATTGCAACCAAAGTACTTAAACTAATTTGGTTTTCTGGGTTGAAACTAACCTACCTGCAGTCATCTCTACTTTGAGAGTCTATTGTCTACTCTGATTTTATTCTTCATGCCAATGAGTACACTGAAACCTGTTTTATTTTTACAAAAGGGTGGATTTCTCTTTTAGTGTGTGTGCAGTTTGCTCTTTGACAAGTTAGTGCAAAGATAAATAGTAAAGTTAGTTTTAGACAAGTGGGCAGCAAGTTACTACCTTAATGTAAGCAGTGTAATCAATATAACAGCAGTTTAGTTACCCAGTTGTGAATCGTGACACCCAAACTATAAGTACAAGAAGGAGGGACCGATTAAACTAAAATTCCCTTTGATTCTATTATCTCATTACTTAAAAACAATAAGGAGTCCTGTGGCACTTCAAAAACTAATGGATTTATTTGGGCATAAGCTTTCATGGGCAAAAACGCACTTCATCAGATGTAAGAGGCTAACATGGCTACCCATGTGATTCATATTATTGTTATTATTTTCAAAAGCTGTGAGGCTGACTGTGAAAAGCTGAACCCCATCAACTCTCTTGTCTTTAGTGGTATTTGAAAGTGCTCAGTCTCTTAGTTTTTTGAGTCTGTTCCAAAACTAATTGGAGTCAGGGCGAAAGACAGTTGACTTCAGTGGAATTTGGATTGAAATCTGAGAATGTAACCATATCAAATAGATTTTTTTCAATTCAATAAAATACAAAGTGGAGCTTTGTCATAATTATTTGCATTGTCCAAGTAAGAGAGAGTCATTTTTGTTCCTTTTCTACATGGTCTTCTACCATTAGGTTGTTGGATATCTATCTAGCTATAGGTATACTGTAATATATTGAGGAGGCTGAAGATGAGGCTATTGTTAAAATACAAGTCTTTGATCTAAAACAGGGCTATTTGACTTTGAAAGCCCCAGGAGTCACAGTGATATTCTCAGCACATGCCGAGGTTCACAACTTAAGTGTGGTTGCATATACATGCAAATATATAAGCAAATAGATGCAAACATCTTTTTCACACTAATGAGCGTGAATATAAAGATTAAGGCAAGACTACACAATGCATAGGCCCCATTTAAGTCAGTTCTGCTGATATTAATAAAATGCAACAGTTACCCTATTTCCACCAATATGACAGCACTTTTAATGAGCAATGACAGTCCAGGAATTTAACAACTAAAACCCATATCAACAGAAGACCATTATATTGACTGCTTTTCTGTTTTGGCGCAGAACGAACGACGAGCAAAAAGTAAAGACCCTGGTATTCGGCATAATGGATGGTCCGAATAGGAGAGGCAGACCCTACAGAGAATATGTAGATGATATAGCAGATTGGTGTGGAACTAGTCTACAGAAACTAAGCCTCTCTGAACTGGACAGGGAAAGATGGAAGGAAATAGTGAGGGCGGCATCAAACACCAATGGGTGTTGAGTCCATGGTTGATGATGATGATGATGAATATTTACCTGATTTCCACCCATATGACAGCACTTTTAATGAGCAATGACAATCCAGGAATTTAACTACTAAAACACATATCAACAAAGGACCATTATTGATTTTTTTGTTTGTTTTGTTTTGGCTCCTACCACGGGCTGCATATTGAGCCCTGTGTAAACCCAAACTGCACCGTGGGCCTCAAACAAATAGGTCATAGGCTGCATGCGGCCCACGGGCCATGTGTTGAGTAGCCGTAATGTAAAGGAATCACCTCTCTGTGGAGTATCTAAGAAAATGATAAAAAATTAAAACAGTTTGGTTTAAAACTTACAGATTGAGAAGTAATAGTGCATTCACCCGTGACTGGATTTGAAAATACTGCTCCAATCCAGATCATTAGCCAAGTGATTTTCATCTTCAAAGTCTAGAAAAGAGAATATTTTTGTATGTTAGGACCAACATTTATATTGCTTTATTATTAGTTTAAAGGCATGCTCCTGGTTTTAGTCATGTAAACAAAAGTTGATTTATAGTTGAAAGAAATGATTCATCATAACTTCTTGTGTTTTTGTCTTATGTAAATATTGCTAAGAACCTAAATAAGACTACATCCCTCTGTCAAAGGTGTGTCTAGACTATGTCCCTCTTTCGAAAGAGGAATATAAATTAGACACTTCAAAATTGCAAATGAAGCCAGGATTTGAATTTCCTGCGCTTTGTTTGCATAATCGCATCATAGTGCTCTTTTGAAAAAGTGCTATTTCAAAAGTGAAACCACAATCTAGACATGGTTCTTTTGAAAATAGAAGCCTTTTCCAAAAGATCCTGTAATCCGAGGCTTCCATTTTCGAAAGAACTGCATCTAGATTGCGATTTCACTTTCGAAATAGTGCTTTTTCGAAAGAGCACCATAATGTGATTATGCAAATGAAGAGTGGGAAATTCAAATCCCGGCTTCATTTGCAATTTCAAAGTGTCTAATTTATATCCCTCTGTTGAATATTATTGCAATTTGTATAAGGGAAACAAATCTTTACAAGTTGTTAAATGGTGAAACTGTTTAAAAAAAAAAACAATTCTGTCTACATTTTTTCTTATGTAAATCAGTCAGTTTCTTTCACTGTGAAAAGACCCATCAGCATACAAGCCAAAATATGTTCATGATTTTAAATTATTATAAAATAATCAAGGCATACTATTGAAGAATGATCTATTAAAATAGATGTTTTTTAAAAAATTAGTCATTTGGAAAAAAAATCAGGCAGACAGACATCATTAATATCTTAACATTCTCCCATGATCTGAGCCCATACATGCTTTCTTTGAATATGTTTCAAAAATGGCTTCTTAGGAGTTTTCATTTCATAGTGATGTCCTCTACAATTCCTACATTAGTTAAAAAACAAATACAAAATGCAATTTTCAAGAGTAAATTAGGAAGAAGTGTAGCTTGTAAAATCAGAAACATTTTCCTTTCCAAAAGACTCGGGCTGCTTTCTAATCTTTTAACAAAGTATAATGCAGTAGTTTGGCTCGTGAAGAGCTCATATTGATTGAGGAGCCCAGGGTGTCTTTAATATGAGATCTATTTCCAGTCTGACAATCAAATTATATAAACAAAATTATTTTCCCACACATTTAAGACTATTAAGCTGGCTTTGAAAAAAAAATCTATAAAGTATCTTACCTTTTTTATTTTTAAAGAGAGAATATGTATAGTTGTGTGTTTCCTGTGCATTAAAAAGAGGAAAGATGTTGCAACAGCATTTTACTTTGTTTTTAACCTTTGTACTCTGTGACCAGGCAGGTAGCTAAAAATAAATAAATAAAAGGCTAGAACTTCCTTAGCAAAAGATTGACTAGGTTGAGCAATTTCTTATAGTCATCTTAGTTATTTGGATCTATAGTCACTAAGGAAGTCTGGTGGTAATATGCTTAGGCCTCTTAATTTCAGATCACATAGGAAAAATCAAGTTAAAACATCGCAGGAGCTTACACAAAGGATGAGTTGTGGTTAACTGAAGAATGTTTAAGAGAAAAGGCTTATTTTATAAGTGAGGCTAGTAATCAGAATTAAAATCTGCAGATCTTTACATATGTGGAAAATTTTAAATGAAAATTCATGGTTTGCAAGCCTCACATTTTTTTAGTTTGTTGTATTGTAAAGGTGATATAATTCAAGCACTTATCTTTAGTAGTATCTTAAATCTGACACATAATCCATCTTTATTTAGGAGGAACCATTGCATGGTATATCAGTGTTCAAAAAGTTACTTTGATAGGTCTGATCCTATAGTTCAGGGGTGGCCAACCCATTCCAGGCAAAGAGCCAAGATATCCGTGGATCCAGTGCGAAGAACCGGGGCAAAGTTGTCGAGTAAAACAAAACAAAAAAAGTCATTAAGAAAATGCATTCAGAAGCTTTTTGGCCACATCAGGCTCCCGCCAGCCGATGCCATCTTTCATGCTCCATATTTAATGGCCGCACTGGACAGCTCCCCTGCCCCAGTGAGCCCAGGGAGCCGGGAGGAAAGGGCGGTTTCAGGGGTGTGGGAGTGACTTTATGAGCCATGGTGGGGAGGCTTCACAAGCTGCACCCTGGGGGGGGAAGGGCCGCTTGCTGCTCGTGAGCCGCAGGTTGGCCACGGCTGCTATAGTTGTTTTGTGTTCAAAATTGCAGTTGACTTCAGTGAGTTAAATGTTAAGACAGAAGAATCAGGTCCACAATTATACAAAGTGTTTCATATATATTTCAAGCAAAAAATCTATAGTAATGATGCACTTATTTTATCAGATGGACTATATTTCATTCTGAGGAAGGTGGTTGGTTATGTATTATATTTGTGATATTAGATTGTTTTAGGTGGTTAAAACCAGGAATGAGCATCTCTTTGTTTTTATAAATAAACAGTATAGTGAGTTATAACATTACTTTCACTTTCCTCTGTTATTACAGCAAAGAAAAGTTAATTCAAGCAGTGGAAGAAGATATTGAACGTGAAAAACAAGTAGCTGATGACATAATAAAAAATATGTCTCAGGAGAATCAAGCTAAATATGTGGAGATGAAGGATACCAATGAAAAACTGTTACAGGTGGGATTTCTCATATTGTTAGTCTAAGATATATGTAAAATTAGTTCCATGAATTCCACAATATAGTTTGGAATACTAAAGAATTTAATCTGATTAAAGTAAAGGGAAACTTTCAGATAGCATTATCCCCAACATTTCAACTTTGTGCTAGTGCATGAAAACCAGGAAATGAAATTGATTAGAAACAAAATAATACCAAGCATTTTCTATCTGTAGATCTCAACATGGTTTAAAATAAATAAATTATTTTCATTCTCCTCCATCATTACTGTTATTTTACAGATGGGGATATTAAGGTGTGGAAATTAAGGCCTTGAATGAATCCTGCAAATGCTCAGATGCTTAGCAGTAAATGCATGCGTAAAAAATACATGTATAAACTTTGCAGGTTCTAGATCTGAATAACCTGTAAAAGGTCACACTTCAAGTTGTATTCCCTCTCTCTGGGTCATCTGGTATTAGCTACTGTCAGCAGACAGGATACTGGGCTAGATGGACCTTTGGTCTGACCCGATATGGCTGTTCTTATGTTCGTAAATCAGTGACAGAGCAGAGAGCAGAACCCAAGATTTCTGATTCCTTATCCACTACAATAATTGCCTGCCATTTACATAAGAAAATTAAACATCGATGTATTTGAAGTTCTTTGTTTCAGTTATTTAAAGATTAACAAAAGAGATGAAAATAATTTTTAAAAATATTATTTTTTCAATGAACATCTTCCCTTCAAAGAAAAAGTTGGTGAAAGGGTATAATGGTTCATAATTACAGCCAAGATATAAGTAACAGTAATATGAAGCTTAATCACAAAACTGCAATCCTGCAAAGCTGGCAAAGCTCTGCCAGGCACAGATTGGAGGAAGGGGTCTTATCCTATTCACAAATACACTTAACAAGAAGGACTGAATGTTCTATGGCATTTGCTGGAATCAAATGTGCAGAATAGGGAAGAAAGTTCTCCTCCAATGGTAATTTTTACCTAAACTATTCATGTTCATTTCCTCTAGGAATTAGATGCTCAGCAGCAGGAGTTGGATGCATTGAATGTAAAGGAAGACACTCTAGGAGCTGTATGTATGAAGATAAATAACTGATCTATTTATATTGTAAATGCAAAAAGAATTTGTACATCAGCAAAGTACCACAGTGTAGTTTTTCTGTAACTCTTTAATAGCATAAACATGCACTCTTAAAGATCAGGGCAAAGCTCCCATCCATTTCAGTGGTACAGCCTCAGGCCATTAATGCATATACTGTAATTTTATTTTTATCGGATAGGGTCAAACCCACCAATTATGTTTCATAATTTATTTTTGCTAGATGTCAAGTAATCAGGTATTTTACAGCTGGTATGTCATACATGTGAACTATAGCTCAGTGATTACATGATAGATGTAAATTATCACTTTTGAAATTGTTAAGAAAATCACTCTTTTTATTCTAATAGAGTAAACTATTTTGTCTATGGATCTAAATAAATGTCTGGGAAAATTGAATTCCGTCAACAAACAAGATCAGGACTGTAACATTGACCTGTGGCCACTTTTCTAGCCTATATGCTGGAATAGCAAATGCAGTCCTTCCAAACCATAATACAAGGGCTCCTTTTTATTGTACATAGGTGTATGAGCCCAAATCAGTGTCAGTATCTTGATGCAGTATGGATGCTTCATTGAAGGTCATTCTGCATGTTAATTTCTCCCATCCCTGCAGAGGCAATATAGTGCTTAAATAACATGAAGGGGCTTGCTTGTACTCCCTAGCCTGAGCTAAATTTTACTGTGCTCTCATGGGCCTGTGGCTTTCCCCAAGTTTTCCACTGCCTTCGATTCACTCCTCAGAAAGAAATCAGAACATAATGTATCACTAGAACTCTAGCATTCAGTATAGAGGACTTGTATAGGTCTGATGAGGGTTCCTTTCTAAACTCTATTTTTCATTTTCCCTTAACATTGTCAGATGTATTCTTTTGGAACATTAGAAATCAGAAAATTACATGTAAAATGTTCTCTGAATACGTAAAGCAGATCACTCACAAATTCTTCTCCCCAAAGAGTTGAGAGATTTGCAATTTCTCCTTATGACTCAGTCGTCTTTAGTATATATGTGTGAGTGCCTTCACCTCCCACTTTGAAAGAACAGGTCTAAATTCTGTAGCAGGAGTTGTCACACACACACACACACACTCTCTCTCTCTCTCTCCCCCTCCCCCGCTTTCCCCCCCTCCAGGGGTATAACCACTGAAACTAAAGATTGCCTGCATTGGTCTCTCAGAGGAATATGTACCCTAGAGTGTGAACATGATGTATGTCTTCAGAAAACAACAGTTACAGTGATCTTGTCTTACTTTCAGTTTAGTGGCATTGCTATTTTGACAACTCCTTCACATTTTAGACATTTTGATGTATGTATGGGGCTTGATATCACAGTGAAAATGTCTTGAGCATGCAACAACTTTCTGCCTCCTCTTCTGTATAGCTTCCTTATTAGACCTTATCTTTGGAGTTCCATTAGGTTAGACTGTAAAAGCAAGACACTGCCTAATAAAGTACTCAGATAGCACTGAAATGCTTAGAACCTAGACAGCTAGATTATATGCCAATCTTTTGTACAGACTTCACTGTAAATTGCAAATAAACTAGTTTTATTATATACATAAACTTTTGCTAAATAAAAACACAAGCATTTCAACAATGTATTGTCCACTGGAAATCTAACCAGTGTTTACTTGTTCTACTCAGGAAATAGCGCACTCCCAGGTAAAACAAGAGGCTGTGCAGCTGTATGAAAAACTTCATGGCCTTGAGGAACATCGAGATCAAATGATTGCTGAGGACAAGAGTATGGGATCTCCACAGGAAGAAAGAGAGAGATTACTGAAACAGGCAGGGAAAAAAAATAATTTATTACATCTTTTATTTACATTTTTTAATGCTGTGGGTTTTTTTAAATGACACGAGTATGGGATCTCCACAGGAAGAAAGAGAGAGATTACTGAAAGAGGCAGGAAAAAATATTTTATTACGTCTTTTATTTACATTTTTTAATGCTGTGGGTTTTTTTAAATGACAATGTAAAAACATGGAGTTAGATTCTCTGTCTTGGTTCTGGCCCTTTTTCCTTTTAGCAACACAAAGGGGCTGGAATCTATCCAATTAAAATTACCGGGAGGGGGTGGAGTTTTCAGCGAATATAAAACTGACTGAAATAGCTCCTGTTCTAATCACTTTCACGCTCAGTGTAGGAAGGGAGCATTTGGGGGTGGGAAAATTGGATTCATTTTATTGAACATCTTTCTAGCTCAAGTCTAAAATGTTTGGGAAAGATGAGTCATCTGGTTAATTAAGGACCCAGTCCTGCAAACTTTTTCTGGTGTAAGTAATTCCTACTAACGTAAGTAATCTGATTACTTTAAATGAAGCTGTTTGCATGATTGTATTCATGAGAGTAAGTGTTGCAGGACTAGACTGTAAAATATTGCATTAAAGTTGAAAATATTGGAGAAAGAAAAGAGAGGGGTACCATTGGGAGGTAGCTGTAAAGGTGACACCACTAAATGATGATATTCCATCTTTTATTCAGCAAAGCAATGGCTGTAGAAGAATTATTTACAACCAGCTCTTTTGCAGGCTGACACTTAATTCCTAGAATGAATGAATTAATCATTTGGTTTTGTGTATCTTTTCGATTGTATCTCTTTTTTGCCTTTGAAACATTTGATATTCGTTTGTATAGGTTAAAGAAGATAACCAGGAAATAGCAAGTATGGAAAGACAGTGAGTATTTCTGTTATATTGTTCTTATTGGCCCTGTTCTGGCACATTATAAGAGACGTGTCTGAGCATAGGATTAGGTGTCAAGCATTGCTTTTTGATCTCACACAAACATTCTCTGTGAGGTTGAGCAAGTCATTTGTCCTCTGTTATCCTGTTGTGAGAATTAGTTAATATATATAAAGAAATAGATGTGTTGCTTGTAACATTCTTTATATGTACTGTGCTTATTATCACAAAAGCTACTGTATTTGAGAGTCTCTTGCTGTTAACTTTAAAAACTCAGCTGCGTGCTGCCTTTTTTTTTTTTTTTGTAATCTGAGTGTAATATGTTTAGCTAACATTCTCAACCTGGAGACCTTTTAAAATTTGTTATTTTTAGGAGGGGGCTGCACCTCCTGCTCGCTACACTCGCCAACCCCCGCCCCTCTCTTGGGGTAGATGTGTGGCCGGGGCGGGGGGAGGGTGGAAGAGCAGGGGAGGTTGCAGGAGCCAGCTGCGGGTAGGTGTCTGGCCAGGAGGGAGGGGGCAGGAGCAGGCTGGGGGTGAAAGGTCTCCACTCACCACACTGTGAAGGCACTGGGGGTGCAGAGTCTTGGCCAAGGGGGAGTGTGATGGGGCTGCTGGTGCGGCAAGGAGAGAAGGGTGAGGCTGCCTGGCTCCGGCCTGCCAGACCACTGGGGAGGGAGGGAGGAAGCAAGGTGATTGACGGTGGAGGGAGGGGCTGTGGGATGCAGAATGATGTGATGACATCACTCTGTTGTCTCACCGGAAATGTTTTTTTATATGTAGAGAGAGAGAAAAGGTTTTCTAAAGCTTAAAAAATTTGACTGGCTCACTGCTGTGTTAAGTGCTGTGTAAATAAAATACCCATGAGTCATAAATCAATAAAAATATATGCATCCTTCATTAAAATTAACACAACTTATTTTAATACAAATATTTATGGATACAGTTCAGCCCTGTTACTACATTACAAGTTAAATATTGTCTAATACATATTTATGTAATAGTAAACTGTTTAAAGATAACAGTGAACTTTTATCCGTGGATAGATATTGCAATGTACATTATAGCATTAGGATAGTCATGCCATGGTGTAATATCTAGACACAGATAACACTGGTCTACAATTTTTTACAAGTTGTCTGCTTCAGAGATAAAATGTGCTATTTATTATGTATTTTGATGTGCTGAATTCAAATATGACAATTAAAACAACTGATTGGCTACTGCTTCCAAGATATTTAACTTTTTACATTTTACGTCTATGTATATTGTGTAGATGATAGAGTTTTAATCATAAATTGTAAACCTAGGTCTTTTCATGTGTTTATGGTTGCTTTACATGATAATATTTCACCTATCCTGTTTATGTAACACTTTAAAAATCAGCAAGAGGGTTATATAAATAAAATTTATTATGAAGCAAAAGGCAAAAAACTATTATGTACATAGTTTAGTCCTATTCAGTGTCTACTTGGCGCTTCTTGGCTTGTCTCTTGTATTCATTAAATGGAGCATCTTTTGTCACTGTCCAGCAATAGTCTGCAAGCACTGATGAGCTCCATTTGCCCTGATAGCATTTCTCCATTGTTGCAATGGAGTTTGGTGGAAAAAAATCTAGATGAGAGTGCAAAAAAATGTATCTTTAGTGATATGTTGCAACCAAGGCTTTTGTATGCCTTGAGGAGGTTTTCCACCAACAACCTGTAGTTGTCTGCCTTGTTGTTTCTGAGAAAATTTATTACTACTAACTGGAAGGCTTTCCATGCCGTCTTTTCCTTGCCACGCAGTGCATGGTCAAATGCATCATCTCGAAGAGGTTCACAAATCTGAGGACCAATAAAGACACCTTCCTTTATCTTAGCTTCACTTAACCTTGGAAATTTTCCACGGAGGTACTTGAAAGCTGCTTGTGTTTTGTCCATGGCCTTGACAAAGTTCTTTCTCAGACCCAGCTTGATGTGTAAGGGTGGTAACAAAATCTTCCTTGATTCAACAAGTGATGGATGCTGAACACTTTTCCTCCCAGGCTCCAGTGACTGTCGGAGTAGCCAATCTATCTTGATGTAGTGGGAATCTCTTGCACGACTATCCCATTCGCAGAGAAAACAGCAGTACTTTGTGTATCCAGTCTGCAGACCAAGCAAGAGAGCAACAACCTTCAAATCACCACAAAGCTGCCA